AGAGTCCAATACTCATAAAGTTAAATATTTATAGAGTTCAATACTCATAGAGTTCAATGTTTATAGAGTTCAAGAGTTCAAAACTCTTAGAGTTCAATATATATAGAGTTCAATACTCATCGAGTTCAATAATCATAGTGTCCAATAATCATAGTGTCCAATACTTATAAATAAAGTTCAATGCTTATTGAGTCCAATACTCATAGAGTTCAATATTTATAGAGTTCAGTACTCATAATTTCCAATACTCATAGAGTTCAGTAATCATAGTGTCCAATACACATAAAGTTTAATACTTATAAAGTTCAATACTCATAGAGTTCAATACTTATAGAGTTGAATACTAGTTATTTGAGTTATCACTTTGGCTGAAGTGTATTTGTTATTGTATTTGGATGTCAGAATAGTACATTTACTTATAAGGGTTGTGTGTGGTCATATCTTTGTTATTCATTTTAAAATAATTGGACATACTGAGAATTTAAGAAAGTATTTGTAATCTTTTGTTTTCTTTTAAATAGTTTAACATGCCTTTAATGTTTTAATTCATATTTGCTTCGTATGGTTTCTTTCTAGGCCGAGCTTCATAAGCATTTTTCTGTTTTCATTAAGAGTTGTTTACATTATATTTTGTTGTCTTACTTTTTGTGGCAGTCTACATTTGATTTTGTTTATGAGAAATATGATTTACACTGGTTATATAAACACATGTATGAACATTGAGTTGAATAATATGTAGGGTATTCACTTTGTGTTCATCCCTTTTCTTTTCCAAGAAAGTACTATCCTGTTTGTATTAACACTTTAAAAAGCTTATGGCATCTGAAGCTCTTGAAGAAGGTCTTTCTGTGGCCATACTGAGTGGTTAGAATAAAATTGATGCCTTGGTGAATGATGGTGAATGATACATGAATTCAAGCCCTTGATGAATGATTCATGAATTAGAGCCCTTGGTAAAGTGAATGATACATGAATCAAAGCCCTTGATGAATGATTCATGAATTAGAGCCCTTGGTGAAGTGTATGATACATGAATAAAAGCCCTTGGTGAATGATTCACGAATTAGAGCCCTTGGTAAAGTGAATAATACATGAATAAAAGCCCTTGGTGAATGATTCATGAATTAGAGCCCTTGGTAAAGTGAATGATACATGAATTCAAGCCCTTGATGAATGATTCATGAATTAGAGCCCTTGGTAAAGTGAATGATACATGAATTCAAGCCCTTGATGAATGATTCATGAATTAGAGCCCTTGGTGAAGTCAATGATACATAAATCAAAGCCCTTGATGAATGATTCATGAATTAGAGCCCTTGGTGAAGTCAGTGATACATGAATAAAAGCCCTTGATGAATGATTCATGAATTAGAGCCCTTGGTGAAGTCAGTGATACATGAATAAAAGCCCTTGATGAATGATTCATGAATTAGAGCCCTTGGTGAAGTCAATGATACATGAATAAAAGCCCTTGATGATTGCTAATATTAATTTAATTGGCCTCTATAAGGGGCCGCTAAAGCTAAAAATAGAAATACCTTTAAACGTCTATTTCTACAGAACTAATTGATGGATGATCACCAAACTTTGTCTCTAGCATTCTTTGGTAGTCTTTTATCAAGTTTGCTCATATTAATTTGATTGCACCAAACTTTGTCTGTAGCATTCTTTGGTAGTCTTTTATCAAGTTTGCTCATATTAATTTGATTGGCCCCTTTTAGGGGCCACTAAAGCTAATAGAAATACCTTTGATCATTATTCCTACTGAAATAAATGATGGATGATCACCAATTTTTGAAGCATTCTTAGGTAGTCTTTTATGAAGTTTGCTCATATTAATTTGATTGGCCTCGTTTTAGCTAAAGCTTAAATGCCCCAGGTCATGGCATTTCTTCAAAATTATTGTTAAAACATATTCTATGCTCAAATTTAATATAGGAAAATATTGACAATAGATAATTCCAACACTGAAAAGCAGTTGTTTATGGTGAGCGACTCAGGGCCATCATGGCCCTCTTGTTATTTTCTTTCCATATTGAAAAAAATTGGTTGCTATGGCAACAAATAGGCTTAAAACATGGCAAATATAACATTATTTGTGATTAGCCAAAAAGAGCTGAAATTTTTTATGGAACTTAAGAAATGGATAGATGGCAGTATGGAAATTATGATACAAATCATTTTAATCTTGACTATAGGGAGTATTACTTAACAAACGTTGGCAACCTCGTCAAGATTTCTGATTCTAGTTTTTAGGCTTTTTCAGTATAAGTGCTTTATTTCTTAAGGTATTTATTTCAAACTTAAAATATAAGATTCTTGTCATCAAGGTTTACAACTCTAGCACAAAAATTATCAGAATTGTCTCTCATTTTCATCAAAAAAAAAGTGTTGTGTTTTTCTAATAACTTCTTTATTTCTTAACCTTTTACCCCATGAGCATATTGTGAAAAATGGTAGTTTTCATTGAAAAGCCTCCTGTTACAATTTCCAACTGCTATAAAACCACACCCGTTTAACTCACAACGAGTGAAAAATGTCCATCGGTAAAAATGTTGTCAGCAACTTCCGTTCCTCGTTGTGAGCACCCATCTTTGACGTGTGACACGATAATCAAGGTGACTTTTTCATAATTTTTGAAGATTACAGACATTTATGTAAAAATATCGAAATGCAGTTAGCTAGCGATGTGTTTTCCGAGTATGCACATGTAAAGATATTGCCTGTTGGTGGACAATTTGATGGAAATACCGTGCGACGCAGTCACTCGGGGTAGCTGGAAAACTGGAGACAACTTCTCTTTGGACCAAATTTAACATTGAAAACGTCGATTCTGGTGACGTTTTGTGCATTCTAACCTACCACTACTACTACCACCTTCCAACCCCCCAAACAGAATGAGGCATGTCAAATGTTGTTACATTGCCAGGAAAATTTTGGACTTGTGAGAGGCTAAAAATGACCCCAGATCGATTTTAAGGTAACGTGTAACCAATGCTGAAAAGCATTTAACTCTATTTCAATCCATTGAGAGGTTGCAGCACTTTCTAATCAATTTTGATGGAAAAAATGAACGCAAAATAGTGATTTTTGGCAATTTTGAGATGTCCCCTCTTTGCCATGTTAACAGGAAATTATAGCCTGAGCATGTTGTTACAAAGGCAATTGTCCAGTCAGTATTTGTGCCAAGTTTGATTAGTATTGAAGCAGTTTTTATAGTTTTATAGCAATTTGAACTTGTAACAAGAGACTTTCAATGAAAACAGCCATTTTTCACAAAATGCTCGTGAAGTAATGGGTTAAACTTTGAATTTTTCTTATTCATTTTTTTAACTTTCTTTTATTATCAACAATTTCATTACTTATTTTATTTGTTACACTTACATCAGGAATGACGGCTTGCATCTTTATTTCAAGAGTTATCTCCTCTTTAAGAATTTTGCTTTTAAAAATGTTATATTTTGGTAACAGGGATGTTTAAAAAATTAACTTTAAGAGTGTCCTTCAGTCAGTCTGTTTGTCTGTCTGTTCATAAAACTGTTTCCTGTGATCACTTTTAAAGACGTTTTCCAACAAATTTTCTTAAAATGAAAACATTAGTGAATGGGCAATGGCCCTTCAGAATGTTGCTCGGGTTCTAACCGGTAGGGAACTTATGGATTGCTTGCAATACTGCGATAATTGCTCGTTATGTAAATAACCAGTACTCGGCGGGGGAAATATAAATTCAATGAATTTGCTTGTTGCACTATATTTCTGCCTCCCTGGCGGATTGGTTAAGGTGGCTGATTTCAAATGACTTACCAGTCTCACAACGGACTAGGTTTAAATGTTATCTGGGAAATTAGAATTCTTTAAGGCATACCTGCAGAAAGTCAGTGGTTTAACTTATAGGGAGCCGGCACAGTGTTTGGATAGCGTATAAAATGCTTATTTGATGATCTAAACACAATAGAAAAAAAATTCACCATCAAATATTTTATATAGACTAAAAATTAATATAATACTTGATGGTGAAATTCTTTTTTTCTAGACGATATATAAAATTTGATGGTGAATTATTTTTTTCTAGTGTGTTCAGATATTCAAATATGCATTTTATTATAAGTCTATCAAAACACTGTGCTGGCTCCCTTTGGTTTTACGCAATCTTGATAAGATGCACATCTTTCTAGTCACAAGTAAAGCAGGAAGGTGGCTAAATAACCTTTAAAATGTCAGTTTGTCAGACATAAAATCAACCTGACAAATCTTCCTCTAAGAAATACAATTTGACATTTTATTACAATGAAGACAATTCATATTGCTTATGTTACGTCTTAACATTCACTTGTTAATGTCCACATCCTGTTATTTGTGTTGTTACAAGATCAATGACTGACTGTTCATACACTGACATCAACACACAGTAAGGATAGGTATATTGCTAAAAACAGAAGGAAAAAAAACTTCTGACTGAAATATGTTTTCTTTTCTTACTTTCTAATAGTGGATCAATCTTCTATTTGCATTGTCTAACGATGAGAAAAATGTCCAGTTTGTCTGAGGTTTGAACCAGGGACCATTAATACACCAGTCTGCAGGTCTCTCGACTGAGCTATCCAGCCATTTACTAATAAATAAATGAGCCGCGTCACGACAAAACCAACGTAATGGGTTTGTGACCAGCATGGATCCAGACCAGCCTGCGCATCCGCGCAGTCTGATCAGGATCCATGCTGTTCGCTTACAAACCCTATTACAAGTAGAGAAACTGATAGCAAACAGCATGGATCCTGATCAGACTGCGCATCGACTGCGCGGATGTGCAGGCTAGTCTGGATCCATGCTGGTCGCAAACCCATTACGTTGGTTTTGTCATGACAGTTTGAAACCATGACTGAAAGAAAAATTAAAAGAGTAAAAGTGTAAACCAAAACAGTTACTAATGTTGTGAGAATTTGCCTTGGTCTAGGAGACAATTTAAGCTATTATAAACCTACTGATTTCTTTAAATAAGTTTGTCAAGCTCTAATATTTGGACTTTATTATCTTGTCTTTTTTGAAGAAATGTCATACTTTAATCATTTTTGTGTTGGTGTTGTTTTTGTTGTTATCATTGTCATTGTTAGTATGCAAAATTAATACTTTAATGTAGACGATTTCTCAAACAGTGTTAGAGGTATTAACATGAACTTGGAGTTATAACAAATGATACGCAGTTCTGTTTGCCAATGGTCTTATTTTGATATATTTATATCTGCATTAATCGACCATGAGTCAATGACGCTACCTAATTCTTTATAACATCTGTACTTTCTTGAAAAAAAATCATCTTAAAATGTACACAAATATAGGAATTCTTTATTGAATGCTCATCTAAGGTTATATGGGCATTCAACCATTAACATATAGCCATTATAACATGTCAAAACTGTTTGTAAATTAAATTTTATATACATGTTTGTACATGTACTCTTTGTATTTCATAAATATTTTTATTTCTAGGTACGTTGAAGTAGGAAAGATGGAAAACCCACCAGAAAAACTTTTGCCCACACAATTCGTGCTACCTCAAGGTATTGAAATGTAAGTACTTTATTAAAACCAAAGTGTGCTAAAAGACCAATGCTATGGAATTTTATCCATGAATTGAAAGTAGAAATTTACGTTTATATCATTCTTTGAAGGCCTGTTATGCCTCATTTATACTTTCAGTTTTATTTCTCTATTTTTTTTAGCTCACCTGTCACAAAGTGACATGGTGAGCTTTTGTAATCGCTTTTCGTCCGGCGTCCGTCCGTAAACTTTTTCTTTCAACAACATTTCCTCATAAACCGCTAAGCCAATTTCATCCAAACTTCACAGGAATGTTCCTTTGGTAGACAACTTTAAAAATTGTTCAAAGAATTCAATTCCAAGCAGAAGTCTGGCATGGCAACCAAAAGAAAAAACTTATAATATCTTCTTTTAGAAAACTGAAACGAGCTAGAGCTAAAATATTTGGGATAAAACATCATCTAGTCAGTGTCTACCAAGTTTTTTTCCAATAAATGCCCTTGGGTCAAAATTGGCCCCGCCCAGGCTCCATAACTACTGAAGGGAATGGATTGAAACTTTACACACTTGTTCTCTGTGATTATCTAACATGATTGGCACAAGTCCCATAACTCTGATTTGCTTTTTTGCATAATAATGCCTCTTTTTCGACTTAGAAATTCTTGGTTAAGTTTTTTGGTGCAAGCTGGTATCTCCATAACTACTGAAGGGAATGGATTGAAACTTCACACACTTGTTCTTTGTGATTATCTCACATAATTTGCACAAGTCCCATAACTCTGATTTGCTTTTTTGCATAATTATGCCCTTTTTCGACTTAGAAATTCTTTGTTAAGTATTTGCGTGCAAGCTGGTTTTTCCATAACTACTGAAGGGAATGGATTGATACTTTGCGCAATTGTTCTCTGTGAGTATCTTACATGATTGGCACAAGTCCCATAAGTCTGATTTGCTTTTTTGCATAATTATGCCCCTTTTTCGACTTAGAAATTCTTGGTTAAGTTTTTGCATGCATGCTGATATTACCATAACTACCAAAAGGAATGGATTGAAACTTCACACGCTTGTTCTCTGTGATTATCTTACATGATTGGCACAAGTCCCATAACTCTGATTTGCTTTTTTGCATAATTATGCCCCTTTTTCGACTTAGAAATTCTTGGTGCAAGCTGGTATCTCCATTACTACTGAAGGGAATGGATTGAAACTTCACACGCTTGTTCTCTGTGATTATCTTACATGATTGGCACAAGTCCCATAACTCTGATTTGCTTTTTTGCATAATTATGCTATTTTTTCGACTTAGAAATTCTAAATAAAGTTTTTGCTTGTAAGCTGGTATCTCCATAACTACAGAAGGGTTTGTGCCTTTTTTGGAACAATTTTATGCCTTCATAATAATAAAGTAGTGATTAACTCGATAAAACATCTTAATATCAAGCCTTTGTACCCTTTCGGACAATTTTATGTATTCATATAGGTAAGCATTATTATACTCAATGAAACACACTTGTGACAACTTTTTGAATAGTCGAGCATTACTGTCCTCAGACAGTTCTTGTTCTTATTATTATGTAGTAAAAACTCTAAAAAATCTTCTTTTAAAAAACCCAAATAGCTAGAGCTTAGCTCTTAAGCATGAAACATCTTCTAGTGGGTGTCCAAGTTTGTTCAAATAAAAGCCCTGGGGTCAAAATTGGGCCCGCCCCAGTTGGGGCATTGTTTTTCCCTTTATGTATATAATAAAAACTTAAAAAATCTTCTTTTAAAAAATCCACAAAGCTAAAACTAAGATATTAAGCATGAAACATCTTCTATTGGGTGTCTACCATTTTTATTCAAATAAGGGCCCTGGGGTTTAAATTGGCCCCACCCTGCGGTCACCATTGATTTCCTTATATGTATATACTAAAAACTTAAAAAATCTTTTTTAAAAAAACCCAAATAGCTAGAGGTTAACTATTAAGCATGAAACATATTCTAGTGAGTGTCTACCAAATTTGTCCAAATAAAAGCCCTGGGGACAAAATTAGCACTGCCCAGAGAGAGGGGTCATTGTTTTACCCTATATGTGTATAGTAAAAACTTAGAAAATCTTCTTAGAGCTAGAGCTTAGATATTTATCATGAAACATCTTCAAATGGGTTTCTACCAAGTTTGTGCAAATAAAAGCCCCTGGGTTAAAATTGGCACCAGGGCCTATATACATGTGAGCGATTTAAGGGCCATCATGGCCCTCTTGTTGATTTTTCGTATCATGTTTCAGTTTCCAAAAAGTACTCATTTGTCATACACATGAAATATATTTTGCTTTTTTGCTTTGTTGGCAATTAGTTTAATTATATTGAAGTAGTATTTTGTAAGAAAATCAAAATACTAATTTGTTTACATTTTAGCTACTTTTACGACACATAACTGCAATTGAGCTCTACTTTCTTCAGTATTTAAACATGTATTATGCTCTAAATCCATTAGTAAAACATTATTAGACACATATTTGACATTTTCTAAAGAATTAAAAAATTATGGATTTCTGAAGCATAATGTGTCTTTAAGCATATAATTATCTTTACTTTTTATATCTATTTAATTTGACCACATTATAATATCTCATCATTTTCCCTCACCACTGTGACAGGGACTTTGGCTATCGAGCTAGCTTACGGAACGTCGGTGGTTCTACTCAGGTGCCCGTTCGTGCTTGAAATAATGCACGGAAGGGCACCCGAGGTCTTCCTCCACCAGTAAAGCTGGAACGTCACCAAATGACCTATACTGTGTCGATGTGACGTAAAACTCAAACAAAATCTCATCATTTTATAAGATGACACTAGTGTGATCCTTCGGCGAGATGAAATTTCTCTCTGATAATTGATCTTAGACATTATTGTTTTGAGTCTAAAGGTCATTTTTAGCTCGACTATTCGAAGAATATGAGAGCTATTGTAGTCGCCCCGGCGTCAGCGTCGGCGTCGGCGTCAGCGTCCGCGTCGGCGTCTGCGTTGGTTAAAGTTTTTTGTAAATTCAAATATCTCAATTATTGCTTGAGATATTCAATTGAAACTTACAATACTTATTTATAGTAGCAATGTACATCAGATTGACAAGTTGGATAACTCTGCCTACAATATTGACAGAATTATGCCCCTTTTTAACTTAGAAATTTTGGTTAAAGTTTTATGTAAATTCAAATATCTCAATTATTGCTTGAGATATTCAATTGAAACTTACAATACTTATTTATAGTAACAATGTACATCAGATTGACAAGTTGGACAACTCTGTCTACAATATTTACAGAATTATGCCCCTTTTTAACTTAGAAATTTTGGTTAAAAGTTTTTTGTAAATTCAAATATCTCAATTATTGCTTGAGATATTCATTTGAAACTTACAATACTTATTTATAGTAACAATGTACATCAGATTGACAAGTTGGATAACTCTACCTATAATATTTACAGACTAATGCCCCTTTATAATTTAGAAATTTTGATTAAAGTTTTTTTGTAAAGTCAAATATCTCAATTATTGCTTGAGATATTCAATTGAAACTTACAATACTTATTTATAGTAACAATGTACATCAGATTGACAAGTTGGACAACTCTGTCTACAATATTCACAGAATTATGCCCCTTTTTAACTTTGAAATTTTGGTTAAAGTTTTTTGTAAAGTCAAATATCTCAATTATTGCTTGAGATATTCAATTGAAACTTACAATACTTATTTATAGTAACAATGTACATCAGATTGACAAGTTGGACAACTCTGTCTACAATCTTTACAGAATTACGCCCCTTTTTAACTTAGAAATTTTGGTTAAAGTTTTTTGTAAATTCAAATATCTCAATTATTGCTAGAGATATTCATTTGAAACTTACAATACTTATTTATAGTAACAATGTACATCAGATTGACAAGTTAGATAACTCTACCTATAATATTTACAGACTAATGCCCCTTTATAACTTAGAAATTTTGGTTAAGTTTTTTTGTAAAGTCAAATATCTCAATTATTGCTTGAGATATTCAATTGAAATTTACAATACTTTTTTATAGTAACAATGTACATCAGTTTGCAAAATTGCATAACTCTGTCTGCAATATTTGCAGAGTTATTTGCCCCTTTGAAACTTAGAAATTTTGGTTAAAAGTTAAAGGTCTTCAAAGATATTTACTTGAAACTTTACACATGTACTTAGGGTCATAATTGGAGAGTCATAATTGTATGTCACTGACCAAGTTCCATAACTCTACTCGCATTTAGGCTGATTCATCTCCCCTTTCCTACTTAGTCTCTAGGTTAATGTTTACATGCAAGTTTTACATATCTCAATAAGTATTAAAGATATTTATTTAAAACTTCACATATGCATTAAGAATTTAATTGTAGGTCACTGACCAAGATCCATAATTCTATCTTGCATTTAGGCTGATTTTTCTCCCCTTTTTCAACTTAGAAATTCATGGAAAAGTTTTGCTTGTAAGCTGTTATCTCCATAACTACTGAAGAGTTTGTGTGTTTTTGGGACATTATTATGCATTATTAATATTAAGCAGTGATTTACTTGATAAAACATCTAAATAACAAGCCTTTGTACCTTTTCGGTCAATTTTATGTTATAATGTATTCATAGGTAACTAGCATTATTATACTCAATAAACACTCTTGTGACAAATTTTTGAATAGTCGAGCCAATACTGTCCTCCGACAGTTCTTGTATTGTCTCCTACTACTGATTTAGAAATCATGTGGGATTAGTAGTGATGTCATTTGCGGGAAAATTTATAGTTATATAATGCCACGTTAAATAAGTTTAGTTTATACTAATTTATTTTAGTTTGATTGTCTAGGAAGATATAAGCCTATTGAAAGATTCTTGAATCCATGCCTGGAACCAACCAGTACTAAGCAATGAGTGTAAAGTTCTTTGCTCACGGAAACAACGACTTGCCCCTGATGGGGTTTGAACTGGCATGCAGCCTGGCTATCCTTGGATTAATAGTCCGAGGAGTTAACCACTCAGTGTTGGGCCATGTTAAATTGAATGCCACGTTAATTTTAATTTATTTATCAATTTTAGAAAGCCATTGGGAGAATACAGGAGTGATATATACTGTGTGGAAGAGCCGTCAGTGTGTAAGAGATCATCAGAACTGTATGTACAGTATGTTAACTGCGGCATGCACGGGGCATCGGAACCTTCAGCTCAAAATAAAGAAATCTACAGAAACTATATAAGGAAACTGTATCAGTAATGAACATGTATTAAAAAAGGGCACAAAATATGTTGAAAATAAAAAATCAGGAAAATGAATGGGAAAGTCATTTGTTAGGACCTAAAATAAACACACAAACCACACAAACATGAACATTCTGTTTGTTTGGACCTACAGAATATAGGATATTTGTGACATTTTGTTAAGATTAAGTTCCCTAGCTTTTTTAATGGAGTTACATTAAAAAAAAAACAAAAAACATGTCACTTCTGGATGGATTTTCTTATAATAAGACACATGCCTCTTCTTTCTTTGAGTAGTCTGGGTTCCAGTTACTTCATTTTGCATGTGCTTTTTTTTTTGGGGGGGGGGGGGGGGGAATCAACAATTAGAAACTTAACAACCAGTAATAGTGACTAGTGACATACTCATTATTATGTATATTCTGAAAAAGCAAAAATATTAATGCCCTGAACCCAGGCTAATTTTTGAGTAGAATACATTATAAGTGCCACTGATATAAAGCCTCTATCTTGCAACAATTATATCAAAGTTGATTGGTCTACAATGGGCACATGTTCCATAAGTATTTCAAATATTGATAAAACAATCAATAAAGATGTAATTTTTAAATATTCTTCTCACATATTTCTTGAAAAGGAAACTGTTGATTAGAGTTGTAATTGATTAAAATGGCCTTAAGCTTTTATATTTTCTGTTGGAAAAAACAATTCTGTGTTGTTTCAAACTAAGTATTTCAGTAATTTCATCATGGAAAAGAGCATCATATCACTGTTAAGCCTTCTTCAAAACAGCCTCCCAATAGCTATTTATAATGTGCCATTGATGTTCATATCTAAAGATCGATGGGGGAAAGTAATTGTTTTCTTTCTAAAGATCGATGGGGAAAGGAATTGTCTTCTTTCTAAAGATAGATGGGGAAGGGAATTGTCTGCTTTCTAAAGATAGATGGGGAAAGGAATTGTCTGCTTTCTATAGATAGATGGGGAAAGGAATTGTTTGCTTTCTAAAGATAGATGGGGAAAGGAATTGTCTGCTTTCTAAAGATAGATGGGGAAAGGAATTGTCTGCTTTCTAAAGATAGATGGGGAAAGGAATTGTCTGCTTTCGAAAGATAGATGGGGAAAGGAATTGTCTGCTTTCGAAAGATAGATGGGGAAAGGAATTGTCTGCTTTCTAAAGATAGATGGGGAAAGGAATTGTCTGCTTTCGAAAGATAGATGGGGAAAGGAATTGTCTGCTTTCGAAAGATAGATGGGGAAAGGAATTGTCTGCTTTCGAAAGATAGATGGGGAAAGGAATTGTCTGCTTTCTAAAGATAGATGGGGAAAGGAATTGTCTGCTTTCGAAAGATAGATGGGGAAAGGAATTGTCTGCTTTCTAAAGATAGATGGGGAAAGGAATTGTCTGCTTTATTAGTTTACATAGTAAAAAGCGGACTGGTAGATTAGAGGTATCATCTGCAAATTTCATTTTCCACCTTATTTCTTTTGATTTGACAATTTTATGAACCAATTTACCGTATCTAAAAATAATATGTTTAACCTTTAGAAAAGCTGAAGGCTGCTTTAGGTATGAGCATATATATGTGTGTTGATTAATAATATTTTGTTTAAGAACAATTTATAATCTGCTCTCTTTATATATATACCTTGGGGTCATGTATCTCCCACTTTCCAACATCATTATATGAGCCGCGTCATGACAAAACCAACATAGTGCGTTTGCGACCAGCATGGATCCAAACCAGCCTGCGCATATGCGCAGTCTGATTAGGATCCATGCTGTTCGCTGTCAGTTTCTCCACTTGTATTAGAGTTGGTAAGCAAAGAGGATGGATGCAGAGGCTGGTCTGGATCCAAGCTGGTCGCAAACCCACTATGTTGGATTTGTCGTGACACGGCTCAATTATATTTTGTTTTCCTGCTTTGTTGTCACATGATGCTAATTACTATAATTATTACTACATGTATAAGCACAATATTTATTTATTGTATTACAGACTTTCCATTATTGACCAATTCACTTTAATCATGAAGAAAAATCTGAAAAACTGTGTTTTTTCCTGCTATAAAATAATTATTTAATTGTAGAATATAACTTAATGATTTATTTTAAGATCTTATTAATATTCAATTTTAGATCACATCAAAAATCAGGGTGATCTGTGTAATAATGAAACAGTTACTGTAGGAAATTGATATTAATTATTATTTTATTTTAAAATTTCTCATTACAGCCAATGTTAAGGGCTTAGTTTTCATATACAAATAAGTCAGGTTTATAATAGGGCAACATTATATGTAACAATATTAAAGAAGGATTAGGGCCTTCTATTTTCCATTAATTAGATGATTTAGGATAAGATTATGAAATCAATGATCATGAATAGTGTTTTAAAATTGGAATTGTGGAAGATTGTGTTAATTTTAGACATACCTTTATTTTAATTAATTAGGGACAATGTGCAATAAATTTGTATAATTTATGATCTCAGAGTCAAAGTCTGATGTGTTGGGATGTGAGGATGGGTGGCTGGGGTTTGTTATACCAATAATGTATAGATCATTTATAGACTTTGCAGTTTTATTGGTGGAGAAATATCTCAAGTGCCCCTCCTTGCAGGCACCTGTTTAAAACCACCAACATTCTGTGAGCTAGCTAGATCGCTTCCTTGTTGACAGAATCCAAAGTACCTGGTATGGTTTCAACCTAAATAGCCAGATAGAGTGTAGGACAAAAGCAACCCCCCCACCCGATGAAAGCCCCCCCCCCCCCCCCCCTTCGAATATCAAAAATACAGACTTGACTGATAACTATCTTTTTTCACACGCCCAGTGTAAGGGAACTTGGGTTATGCTACAAATAAATCAAGACAAGTAAGCGCCTTCCACTTTTATTACCTTGATAAGTGTTGATAAATGATTCTCTGAAAATATCCATTTACATTTGTACAGTACAATATATAATAAACATAAAAACATTCATATCATCAATGAATTATATATGAATTACACAATAAATCAAATTAGAACTTTAGTACCTTTAAATTTAAATCTTCATCTTTTAAAACAATAGCATTTGACTTGTCTCAATACATCAAGTTCCGGAATTATACTGACGAGATTCTCAAAAACAATGTTTCATGGACTGGGGGGCTTTTGTCCTACCTATATTTTTGATGGGGGGGGGGGGCTTTTGTCTTATGTCTAAATTTCATGGGGGGCTTTTGTCCACCTTGTCATTTTTAGATGGGGGGGGGGGTGTTTTTGTCTGGAGGGGCTTTTGTCCGTATCCCAGCCAGATAGGAAATGTCATGAAACCTCTATATCCAATTGGAAATTTAACATTCCTATGCTTATAGTTAAATATGTGATTTGCTATGGTATGTTTTGTTCTGCAATGAATATTTAAATGCAGTGGCATGTAGCTTTTGAAATAACTATGTATACTTTTATGCGGTATACATGTAACTTAGCATAACTTATTGCACACAAATTCCTTTTCACCAGATAAAATGGTGAAGATTATATTGGGTACTTGAATGTCAAAATAACTGTGTCTTAATAATATTTTTATCATTTATTCTTGAATGATTTTTTTAAATAATTGGGCTCACTGTGAATATGAGAAAATATTTGTTTATGTTTCTATATCCTTGTAAAACCCTTTTAATAGTTACAATGTCTTGGATGCCCCTGCTTGCGGGTTGCATTTGTCTCTTTCCAACGACTGTTTTTTTTTTTGGTTATTAACATTGCTATTTAAGGCACCTAACATTTGTTATTGCAAGTGTGATAAACAACCAATCCTTTTTGGGTCCTTTGCGTCAGAGGTTGGAGATTATTAATTATACCTTGTTAGTAAACAGGCTGAAAAACTATTTACATATGTTTTTAATTGAATATGATTTATATCATATTGCCATTTATAGACAAGGTACAATTAGTGGGTTTTATATACAGTATAACTTCTGAATTCCGGAAGTTCTAAAATCCGGAAACTTCTGAAATCCGAACATTTTTCAGGGTCTCGATATTTCTCCTTCTGTTTTCTATGTAATAAATACCTCTGAATTCCGGAACTTCTAAATTCTGAATTCCGAACAATTTTTCGATAAAAATTGGGTTATATCAATTCAAATTTACTTCCAAAATCTGGAAATTTAAAAAGGTGTGAAGGAATATTTTATAATTGAGATTGTAAAACCTTCAAAATACATGTATCAGTATATTCCAATGAGCTGAAACCGGAAGACGGACAAAACCCCACCAGTTAAAACCCCACCACTCAAAATTTTATAGAGTGGACAAAACCCCATCACTAAATTTTAGAGTGGACAAAACCCCACCACTAAATTTTACAGAGTGGACAAAACCCCACCACTTCAGTTTTATAGATGTTTTGATTGCAAAAAAGGTGTTACAACTTACACAAAAAACATCCAAATCCCTAAAGAACAAAACATGATAATTGTAGCATATAGCATTTATTTCAATAGCAATATAATACAATGAATGAGATTATACAAAAAAAATTACAAACTGTTAAATCAACATCAAAGAGTAGTCATTTATTTGAGACTGTGCCACATTTATGACCTTGAATTATCCATTATTAGTTTCTTCAAATTCATTTCTTCAATTTATTTTATAATATAAAAAATAAACTACTATTAATCAAGAATATAGCACATTTTCATCAATTAATGATTAAAAATAGAACATTTTGTATAGCACATTTCAAATTTATTCAGTTGAGCCTATTTTCCTTCATTGTACTTCATTGTACTTAGTTTAAGCGATAGCCTGAAGAAACTCAGGTACAGTCTACTCCTTATTGATGAGTTGTTCACAATTTCTTTTGAGTTTCTGCTGATGCACAATTGTTTGTTTTTTAACATGTTTACAAGAAAGTTTTGTCCACTCTATAAAACTGAAGTGGTGGGGTTTTGTCCGCTCTGTAAAATTTAGTGGTGGGGTTTTGTCCACTCTATAAAATTTGGTGATGGGGTTTTGTCCACTCTATAAAATTTTGAGTGGTGGGGTTTTAACTGGTGGGGTTTTGTCCTACATTCGCTGAAACCATTTATCTTGACACCTATTACAATCACAACCTGTCATGTATGTCAAACACTTGATTAAAGTGTGAAAAATCAAAAATGAGAAGTATATTGTGAAAAATACCTTTCTTTAGTAAAAAATCCAAAGTTTAGAATAGCTTTGTCACGATTTAGATGCTCCACACATAGACTTATGATAGAAGAAGGTAGATTTAGGAATATTGACAGAGATCAGAGAATTTGTTTAAAATGTAACATGAATGAATTTGAAACAGAATATCACTTTTTACTTGT